ACTGGAGAGAAAAGATGTTGAGAAAATTGTTTATCCAGACCATTGCTCAGCAATAAAGTGTTTATACTCAGTATGTTTAGCATCCTCCTTGGACTGAGAGAATCTGATACACATAGATAATTAACCTCCAAATAGACTGTGTGTTTTTGCAAGAATTAGTGCTACTCAGTACTGCCAGATCAGTGCTGGCAAGTTTCCAAAATACAGATTTCTTCCTCGCAGACACTGTCAGATGAAATTTGTGTTTCCATTTATTTGAAATGAGTTATAACAGGCATCACTTTAAAACTACTTTACTGCTAATTGTTTCCCAAAACATTGTGCTTTTACTTACTGATCATCAACTTTCTTAAAGATATACGTAACATGATAAACAGGATATTTGTCCTATGTCTTATAGGATATAAAATGCATTCTATGCAGCCTATGCATTTGACCTTGTATTTGCTTCATGCCCAAAGATAACATAACATGTAAATAGTTGACCTAGGGTGCAAACATGTAAAAGTGCCTGTACCTTCTCACTTTGCTTATAAAATATATACACAATGTAATTTTACTTCTAGTTAATGTTTACTTCTAAGAGTTTTAAAATAAAATGTGGAAAGTGGAACACCTGATACTTTTATTTTTGAAATTTATGTCCACCTGCAACTGCTTGCCAATAACAATTTTGAAAGATGGAACATATGGTTTGTTTTTCAGCCTTTTCTTCCTTTTTTGTTTCTTAGATTTAGTGGTTGAAGGACTGCGATGTGTAGTTTTGCCAAAAGATCTTTGCCACAAATTTCTGCAGCTGGCAGAATCTAATACAGTGAGAGGAATAGAAACCTGTGGAATACTCTGTGGAAAACTGGTATGATCTTTATATATGTATATATACCTCTGCACAGGATAGTTTTAATAGTACTAGCTTTCTTCCCACAAATGGAACAGAATAAAAACATGCTGAGAGTAAACAATATTATGAAATTAACTTTATACAGATTAATCTTATAAAGCTACTGTCATTATTGATGGAATATCCCTTCTATAAAATAGATTGTAAAATTTAAGAGACACTATAAAAACTTGTCCTGAAGAATCAATTAAACTATAAATTAAATCTTTGGTTAGAAAAATAGTATGGAATACAGGTCTTCAGATTTCCAAATCCATCTGATTTACCAAATCAAATTTTCATTGCAATTGTTAGTTTCACATACATTCATATAATTAACTTTATCTGCGGCATGTGTCACCTTGCTATCCTTTTTCAGATATACATGGAATAAAACTAGGGTTTTGTTGTTTTCTTTAGTTTAAGGCAGTATCTTCAACAAAATAAAGTCTATAAGCACAGAACATATTTAATTATGGAAGATGTCATCATAAGTATGTGATGAAAGACAATGTCATAATAGAAAGAGATGAAAGAGAGGAGATGCATTCAATTTTCTATCTACATCAAAGATACATAATGTTTCTTTGGACGTGTCCTTTCATAGTCTGTTTTGAGTACCAGTTTATATATCTGGGTCCAGGTATATTTTCAGTCCTCAAAATTTAGCTTAGGAACCTCTGCTTTATTGAATAATACGTTTTATTCAGTACACAATCTCCTGCTGCATTCCAGTGTTTTGTCATCATTTTCCCTCCAAGAGAGAGGAAGCCATTGGTGGCAAGCACAGGAGAATGGGCATCTACAGTCACCTCTGTTGCACATAAGGGAACAGTGTGCTATTGAAGCATCCACCCCCACATCATGTGTTGTATTCAGATTGATTGATTCATTCACGCATGATTCATTCACTCCGCTGTCAGACAAACATTTACTGAATGTCTAAATGTGCCAGGCACTGTGCTGGGTGTTGGCATTCAGTGCCCTGCAACAGCCACAGTCCCTTCCTTATGATGCTTACCATGCTGTGAAGACCCAGACAGAGGACTAATTATAAGTGGGGCTAAGTGCTGTCTGGGCAAGTGCAGGGCATCATGGGATTGTGTAACTGGGAAATCTAACTTTGTCTGAGGTGTCCGGAAGGGTTTCCCTGAGAAGTGATATTGGAGCTAGGCCTAAAGAATACATAAAGGAGGAGGTTGGATGGAGGAAAGAGTTGAAATCAGGGTGAAGGAACAGTGCATTGTGTATGGCAAAGCCCTAAGGCCCGAGAGAGGATGGTGCTGTGTAGGGGAGAAAGGCCTGTCTGCCTGGGGGAAAGAAGACAGCCTCTCATTGCACAAACATCTCTCCCTGAGGATCCCAGGGCACTTCACAACCCTCTTCCTCTCAGCTCTTATCTTTTGCCTAAAGGGGTAATTTGTTTTTTCCTTTCTCTTTATCTGATCGCAAATCCAAAACATTATCTTAATTACAGAAGATCCTAGTGAGTCCTCCCAATATTCAAAGAATGTCTTACTGCTTAAAGTGACATTAAATATAATTAGTAAAACAAAAACAAAACCATCAACTTTCACAACCCTAAGAAATGCCCTTTGGGAACACCACAAAATTATTTAGCTAGTATCTCCCCCCTCCAAATAAACCTGCCCTTGTTTTGCTCTAGTTTTTCCATTATAAGATATATCAAGAAATCATTTATTAACTAAACTTCCACAGACCAGCCTGGAATTGGAATTCTTATTTATGTTATGTTTTCTATTGTGAAAGTGAGTTTCAAACTACAAACAACTGACTCTCAAACTTTTGGCAAAGAATCCGTTTTTACTGTTGGGACTTTGTTTTTGAATTGGGAAGGGGTGTGTGTCCAGGTACAGGGAGGGATGATGTAAGTGGTCCCTGTACCTGGACACAACCCCCTACTGGGGAACTCTCTAGTCTTAAACATTGCACTTCCTGTTCAGTTATTGTTATTATTATTTTTTGTCAGATGCATGTCATTCTTTCTGCTACTTGTTTTTTAGACACATAATGAATTTACTATTACCCATGTAATTGTGCCAAAGCAGTCTGCGGGACCAGACTATTGTGACATGGAGAATGTGGAGGAATTATTCAATGTTCAGGATCAACATGATCTCCTCACTCTAGGATGGATTCATGTACGTTTGACCTCTCAGGTTTCAGTTTATTTTTGTATGGCGTGCTGTTTTCCTCCTTGAAAAAGTTTAGCTTCATTTAAATAGCTTCTTCTTTTTAATATTTTCAAATGTAATAAAGGTTGTCATTTAAGTAGTGGTTCTCAAGCAAAGAGAAAAGAATAACAGATATTAGAAAAAATAAAGGTCAGCATATTATAGCATGTTTTTCAGTGTTGGACTGTATCTAAATCTGTCAAATCTGGATTTGGAAAATGTATATCTTATGCTTTTTTGTATCATCCAAAGTTATATAGAGACAGAAAGAGTAACATTTGGAAATCAGATTGTTGTTTTTGTTTTTTTTTTTTTTTTTTTAGATGATTTTACATAGCTTAGTGAAGACTTAGCCAGATTGTTAACCAATTTGATTAGACAACTATTAATGTGAGTCTAAATTAGATTATTTGAAAATGTTTCTTTTAAACATGTATTTGTATATATCAGTTACACTCCCTGACCCCCCTCTGATAGGCAAAGGATGTATGGATCACTGTATGAACAGCTATAAAATAAAGCAAGAGGATAGGGCTCAAAACACTGAATTCCAACCTCCTCCAGGCCGTCATGGGAGCAGGAAATGGCTTACAAATCAAATAGACGTGATGTTAAATCTCGACTCTGCTAAGAATTCTCTGTAGGAGCATTGGCAAGTTTTTAAGCAATCTGAGCATCAGTTTTATCCATAAAGTAGAGATCATAATAATTGACTTCACAGAATGTTTCATATTAAATGAGATACTATTGGTGAATTTTATAGCACACATTTTGAGGGACTCTGAAAATTGTAGCTGTTATAATTGGTGATAATAATCTATCCTTTCTAGCCATAGTTCAATCCATCTGGGGAAAATTTTTTCCATTCAGTCTCACATAGCTGGGATCTAGGATAATGTCTTAGTGTGTTTTTGCTGTTATAATAAAATGCCTGATAAGGGTAATTTAGAAAGAACGGAAATTTGTTATGTCTGGTTCTGGATTCTGGACAGTCCAAGATCAAGGCACCAGCATTGGTGTCTAGTGAGGGCCGCTCTCAGCTCCCACAAGCAGCCTTCAGTAGACACCAGCGGCATCTTGTTGCTGTGTGCTCACAAGGTGGAAGGCAGAAGGGCAAGAGAGCACATCTTCAACCTTGAGCCTTTTCACAAATCCCTTACTACCATGCATTAGGGTGGAGTACTCATGACTTAATCACCTCCCAAAGCCCACACTTCTTAATACTGTTGCATTGAGGATTAAGTTTCATCATGAATACTGGTAGAGACCCCATCATTCAAACCATAGGAGGTAGGGATAAGTCATCCCACTGAGATGGGATACCGGCCAAGAAAATTTCCAGAACACATTCTGGGTACCTCCAAGTACCGTTGAGGAATGATAGAGTCATTTTATATTTTACTTGCTTTATAGAGGAACACTCCTCAGTGCTACACACACACACACACACACACACACACACACATACACACTCTCAGTCTCTCTCTTTCTGTCTCTCTCTCTCTCTCTTGCTAAGCCTTTGGTATTATGCAATTCCCGAGGGTATAGGAGACTTTAGTCCCAACACCACCTGTAAATTACTATGTGCTATCAGTCAGGACTTCTAGCCTCATTCCCAGATTTCTTCATTGACTGAGTGAAGCTAATGAATGCCTTCTCTCCTCACTGAATTTCTGTGAACAGGAAATAAGATACCAGGTGTGAAAACTCTTTGAAAAGTATAAACTGCCTCTCAAATGCAAGAAATTATTTATGATGAAGAGTTTGCAAAACTCTTCATATGTCTATTTGCTTTACTTAACAGTAAGTAATATGCATTACAGTTTGCCTGGACATTGCTACATTATTTAACTTAACATGATTTCTGTAACAAGAATGCATTTTAAAGCAAAACAAATTCTAGCAAGAATGACAGTCCATTAAATTATGCATTTACATTGACAAGTCAATGTTAGTTTATCTAACAAAACATTTCCCAAACTAGAAACAAAAGTTTTCCCCTATGACCTTCTATGGACATAATGCATGCAATTATGAAGGTAAGTTATTTAAGTTTAGCATAATTCTGGAATTCTCAGACTTGTTAAACTTATTTCACTGAATCAGATTATTGTAGTTGGATGAAAATACAAAAATGTTACATTTCTAAACCTCAGTGATTGCAATGACTTTTTATAATGGTTTTTATTAAGCATAATAACAAATTCCAGAGCTGACTTTTTCAAAAACAAATTAGACATAGGAAACAATGTCTGAAACATAATCAGACAGATCTGTATTTGAATTTAGACTTTTTGGTTTAACTAGCTTTATGAACATCAGCAGGTAAGTCACTTTTTTGCTTATCTCAGTTTCCTCATCTGCAAAATTTGGATAATAATAGCACTTATCTGGTTGCTGTGAGAATTCAATGATATGACTCATGGAAAGTTAATTCACATTATTCAGTTGCAATAAATGGCATCTGCTTCCACTGTTACCATCATCATCATCATTTTCATTTCCATAGAGTGAGGGAATGGGAGCATCATTCTCTCATGGGAAAACTGTCCTCATTGGAATAGACATAATTCCTTTTGGCACAAATGAAGGACTCAGGTCATGTGGTGTCAATTCCGTGTGGAAATAAATTGACCAGCAGAGTGACTTGTCTGTTTGATAACCTGCTTGCTCGCTCCACAGCACTATAGTTTCTTTGAATAATTTTTAATTTCTCAACTAGGCATAGAAGGCTCTATTTTACAAAGAGAACATATTCCTTGTAAGATAACAGGCTGTCAGGTACTCCCACTCATACCCCTACTGAAGATTTGCATTTTAAAAATTATAATAATTTCCATTCCTTTGTTGATATAAGTTGTTATAGACAAAGTGTTATTATTTCCTTGCAGAATATGTATCTTTCTATAAATAATCAGCTGATTTTACATTCATTCTATTAAAACAGAAAAAAGGTTTTCTTGCCTCTTTTTTTTTTTTTTTCTTTTCAAGACAGGGTCTTGCTCTGTTGTCCAGGCTGAAGTGCAATAGAGTGATCACAACTCACTGCAGCCTTGACCTCCCTGGCTCAAGTGCTCCTCTCACCTCAGCCCCCTCAAGTAGGTGAGACTACAGGCACTTGCCACCATCCCTGGCTAATTAATTTTTTTTTTTTTTTTTTTTTTTTTGTAGAGATGGAGCCTACCTATATTGTCCAGCCTGGTCTTCAACTCTTGGGCTTAATTTATCCTCTTGCCTTGGCCTCCCAAAGTGTTAGGATTACAGGCATGAGCCACTATGCCTGGCCTAAAATTAGTTTTAAAATCTTACATTTCTTTAATAGAATATAGTTTTGTGTAAAGGCATTTAGCTACTATCATGGATCTATGCCTTTTAGTTAATAAAGATGACATTGAAATAACAACAGCAATAACAACAGCTAATGACTTTGATTCCTATGGGCTAAGCACTGTTTCAAGAATTTTAATGGACTGTCTCATTTGATCTTCATAACAATCCCATGAAAAAAATATTATCTCAATTTTACAGATGATGAAATGGGCAAGAGAAGGTTAAGAAATCTTCACAGTGTCATTTAGCTAGTGAATAATGGAGTCAGGACCTAGACAGTGGTGCCAAGAATATTTGTTTCATGATTAAAATAGTCCCATTCTTTTTTGCCAAGAGCAATTAGGGTTTAAGATGAATTTTTAAAATAACTATGTGTGCATTTATTTTTTATGTTCAAATATGAACCTCTAATTGGCCATGCATAAACACGTTCGTATGTAGCCAGAAATTTGGCAGATTTCTTTTAATTTATAATCCCCCTTTCTTTCTCCTCATGTGAGTATTTTGTTGCTGTGCAGGATTAGTCCCAAATACCTTCGACAACTTGGAGTCTCCCATTCTCCCGTTTACAGGAAATGGCAGTCCACAAAAGGATACACAGCAACATGTAGTCTCTTTAGTGAAAACCTTCTTTTAATGTCCATAGTGTTGTATATAAGTACGTTGTGTCCGTGTTTCCAGTCACAGCTCTGCTCCTTACCAGCTATGTTACTGCAGGCATGTTAGTTTTGGGATCCTTGTATGTAAAATTGATATAATAAAATAAGTGTCTCATAAAGAAGTCGTGATAATTATATGAGAATCTATTTAAAGCCTCTGGCAAATTAATTTCCAGCTCTTTTTTTTTTTCCCAAAAGGAAGAAAGTACACTAACACTTCTAGGAGCCTCTTCTCAACGTCGTAGTTATTCCAAAATAGCAAATAATAGGAATGCATAAAAGAAAGGATTATGTCAGCAAAACCTTTTTAAAAATCCTTATTTGATTAATGATGGTCAAAAAATAAAAAAGCGGATAAATAGAGTTTTCTCTCAAAATAGGTTGTGGCCTTGGCTGAGACTCAGTTATCCTAATAAGATTGTCTTCTTTTCTATTTATAGACACATCCCACCCAAACTGCATTCTTATCCAGCGTTGATCTTCACACTCACTGTTCCTATCAACTCATGTTGCCAGAGGCCATTGCCATTGTTTGCTCCCCAAAGCATAAAGAGTAAGTGTAACTCTTCAGGGGAGCCCAAAGAAGGCTTTGTCCAGGGCTGCTGGGTTCCTGTGTGTCCAGACACCAGGTTTTGGTACTTGGATTAGCAAGCACACATGCCCTTGGGAAAAAGAGATGGGTGGCAGCCAGCTGCATAGACCTACAGCTCTGCAGTTTAAGGTCCTTTCAGTGGCAAAATTTCTGGTTTTCTTTCTTCAGTTAGCGTGACCTTGAAGTGAATAACCTTTAAGAAGGATGCTATCCCAGTTAGCCTTTTAAGGTCTTATTTCTACTGTATCATGTTCTACCATAAGAAACGTTCTAGCCTTAGCTGAGAAAAAACCTTTCTACTTTTGGGAGACAACGATTATTGTAGAGTGGTTATGAGCATAGGAATCAAACAAACATATTGGAATCCTGGCTCCACCCCTCAAGTGATGTGTTAGGCCGGATACTTGACCACTGTGGGCCTCAGCCTCTTTGTCCCTGCTACCTGCCCATGAGGGATGGATGTGAGGATGAAATTCATTAATAGTCTATGTACAGTGCTTAGCATAGTGCCTGGTACCACAGCAGGCACTCAATAAATATTTGCTATTGCTATAATCTGTATTAACATTATTAGAAGAATTAGAAATATCTGCCACTTGTAATTTCCTTCCATGGGACTCTCAGTTGGGGCCTTGGTCTTTCCTCTAGGGTCACATACAATAGCTTAGCTGCCTCGTCCCCTTCACGGTCCTGCAGTCTCTTAGGAGCAGCATTGCCTCCTCCTGGGTTTCTCTCCTCTGGGCCAATCATCGGTTTTTTTAAAAAAAAATCACTATGGAATTCCTAGTTTGTGATTTCTCAATCCCATTTGAGAAATATATATGCATGTGCTATTCAAATAAAGCATCTGGAATGCCCAAATGATCCTTAATTTTTCTACTTTGTTTTCACTCTGAAATTTAGCACTGGCATCTTCAGGCTCACCAATGCTGGCATGCTTGAGGTTTCTGCTTGTAAAAAAAAGGGCTTTCATCCACACACCAAGGAGCCCCGGCTGTTCAGTGTGAGTACATCATATTAGTTATTTTTGCAGATATTTATTGTTCACTGCCGCCCCAACCTTTTTTTAAGGAGAGAAATAGTAGCAGTCTAATACAAGCTAAAACACTATACTGCTTAGTTTGGAATTTTATCTCAGAGATTAATCTATTTATATACTTAATTTCTCATTTATTCTCAAAATAATTGTTTTTACAAAAAAGATCAGTATTTCTGTAACAGAATTAATGATGCACAAAGTTACCTTTCCACTTATGTATATGTATGATATTTAAACATTTTCTTCAGAGTACAAATAAGTAAACAATTATTACAGAAGATGATATTTAAAATGCTGTATGAATTCTTTCTGCTTGATATGGCCAAATTAGTTTTTTCATAGCAATTGGATGAAAACTACAAACATACTTCTTGATTACCTTTGCATAGTCCAAAAGAAAAATATGTCTACACCTTTTTTTTTTTTTCTTCCTAATTTTCTTGGTGATTCTGTGGAACATCAAGAGAACGTTATGTTGAAGTTAGAATTTACCTAAAATGAAATTGTTTGGCAACCCCTGTAAATATTTTTGTTGTTGTTGAAAATGAATAAATGTGGCTGTATTTGTTCTGACTGGAAATATTTTAAAAATCAGGAACAATTTAAAATTAGGAAATCTGTACTCCCTCCCTAAAGAAAATCATATGGTAAACATTAATGGTAAACATTATGATAAAATTAAACCTATGGTAAAACCAATTTTTTCTTTCCCAGATATGCAAACATGTGTTGGTAAAAGACGTAAAAATAACTGTGTTGGATCTGAGGTGATATGCTCTGAATATAAGCACCATCAACATCAGATACCTACCCATGGACAAGTGGTTGCCGGATTTTCTTAAGATGTTTCCAGAAAAGACTCATATTTTATATTTATATATTTTAGATTAGAAAGCTTGATATTTATTATTGTTGCACATTTTGAAGTTTTTTTTTTTTTTTTTTGGTTGCTCCGTGTCAAGAGAGGTTACATGGTGTTAAATCATTAATGTACCCAAATACTATGACCAGGTAATAAATTGTGCTGCGAACAATATGTCTGGTATTTATAGAGGTCTCTGTATACATTTTTAGAGCTTTAGATGTTTTGCTGTATTTTTTATTCATGTAAAGTGTAATTCCAAATAAGAAATTCCGAGTGTATGTAGTCTCTAAGGCAGGCCTTCTGTTTCTGAAACCTTCCCCTGAGGTATGTGAGCAGTGAGTATAGATGAAATATGGCTGCCATTGATAAAGCTTGTTCTGTGTTTTCAGTGTCATGAAATCCCAGGCTCAGAGAGAGATCTCTGCAGTGAATCATTGTGTAAGATACCAGAACCATAGGCTTCTACTCAGGGATCAGGTGTCAGAGGGCCTGGGATAGCAGACAATTCATTAACTTGATTTAGAAGACTAAAAGTAGAGAAGCTTTAGAGAGGAATTTTTTTTTAAAGGCTCAGATAAAAGTACAAAGCCTTTTACTGTAAAAATGAACAGGGGTGATAAGAAGAACTGAGACATAAGAACTGATAATTCTTAGTCAAAAAGAATAAATAAGCAAATAATTTGGAAAGTTTTGCCATTAAAGGTGTCTATATAAAAATTAAAACACAGAGATGAGAATGAAATAAGTTTGAAACTGAATAGGGTGACATAAATATAATGTTTGACAAAGGCTTAGAATGACATTTGTGGCTATTACCTAGATAATAAAAGCATTTACCTGGATAAAAAGAGAGAGATTAAATAGAAAGAATGGGAGACTTGGGTACTCTGTTAGCAAGTTGAATTGGTAGAAAAAACCTGAGGATGAAAAGTATGGAGAAAGTTTAGCTGCAAATGCACAGAGGGCAGAATGGAAGTGATATTGTTGAGTTCTTTGAGAATAGGTAAATATCCTTCAGGACACTGAAGACTAGTACTGCAGGTGAAAGCTTCATCTTGGGAAATCCTGGGCAGGCAGCCCTTTCCTTGATCAAGAAACTTGTGTTCACTTCTTAGTCTCCTTTCTCATCCTTTAGGGCCTTGCCTTACTCTAGTCTAGCTTTCTCCTTTTTTGGTTTCAACATTTACATTTCCTTCCCAGCCATCTCTCCCTGGATCTCCAGGACTTTTCAACAGGGCCAAGCTAATTCTATGTAACCTTCTGTCTTCCCAGTGTCTTCTGTGCTGGCCACAGCTCTCCTCCCCTTTGCTTTCCTTCTGACATTGTATCTGAGTTGCCTAAACAACTCATGTTTGCATGTACTAGCTCCCACTGCTTAGTTCAATGATTTCCATATTCCAAAGAGTGGCATTTTCTGTACTCTGTGCTTGGATGGGTTAACATCTGACATGGTATGGTTGTGTCCCCACCCAAATCTCATCTTAAATTGTAGTAGGAGGGACATGGTGGGAGGTAATTGAAGCATTGAGTGGTTACCTTCATGCTATTCTCATGATAGCGAGTGAGTTCTCAGATATCTAATGGTTTTATAAGGGGCTTTTCCCCTTTTGCTCAGCACTTCTTCCTGCCATTATGTGAAGGACATATCTTTGCTTCCATTTCTGCCACGATTGTAAGTTTCCTGAAGCCTCCCCAGCAATGCAGGACTGTGAGTCAATTAAGTCTCTTTCCTTTAGAAATTACCCCGTCTTGTGCTGGGTGTGGTGGCTTACGCCTGTAATCCTAGCACTTTGGGAGGCCGAGGCGGGTGGATCACAAGGTCAAGAGATCGAGGCCATCCTGGCCAACATGGTGAAACCCCATCTCTACTAAAAAAAAAAAAAATATATATATATATATATATATATATATAAATTAGCTGGGCATGGTGGTGCATGCTTATTGTCCCAGCTACTCGGGAGGCTGAGACAGGAGAATTGCTTGATCCCGGGAGGTGGAAGTTGCAGTGAGTCAAGATCATGCCACTGCACTCCAGTCTGGCACCTGGCAACAGAGTAAGACTCTGTCTCAGCACCTGGCAACAGAGTAAGACTCTGTCTCAAAAAAAAAAAAAAAATTACCCAGTCTCAGAAAGTGCTTTATAGCAGCATGAAAATGGACTAACACAACATCCCTCCCTGCCAGTCTAGTCCTCAATTCTGGTATCATGTCACCCGAATTCTGTTCCTGTTCTTATTTATACAGAACCACCTACTAAGGGCAGGACAGTGGCTTGTTTCTGCTTTATGGCATCTTCTAGCTATGGAGAGCTTAGGTTTTAGACTTCAGCAGTAGAGCTTGGCTTCCCTTGTACATAGAGACTTTAGTCTATGGCCACCACTAGGTAAGGGCAGATTAACTCTGCAAGGCTGGCTCTACAGATGATTCACTCTTTCTTGAGTGGTGCTGTCCTCAGTGTCTTAGCACTTAAACACACCATGGTATTCTGATATTATTAATCAAAGGAAAAGATTATATACTTTAAGTAAAAATAATTGTTGGAGCAATGGACAGTTGAGAAATAAGTGAAATCCTCTGTATAGAATTAAAAATATAGTAATACACTAAGAGGATGTAAAATGAGAGCTGTCTTGTGAAAAAACTATGGACATTGAATGGTGCCTAGAGGTAAGAAGGATTCAATTGAGAGCCAAGAACATTTAGCATGTTAGATTTCCAGAAAGACTAAAAAGAGAAGTTGTAAGTATGCAAAACCAATTATAGTCCTTCTGAATAGCAAATTAGAAGAGAACCCATTTTTCACTAAAAAGATATATTGTATCTCCTAAATAAGGGCAACGTTCTTGGCACTTTTATTTCCTTGCAGAGAGGCAAAACCTCGGGCCTGAGGTAAAGTTTGAAAGGTTATTTTTGAAGGGCATGCAGTTCTTCGTTTTGCCAAGTACAAACAAAATTAACCAGACTTCCCAGAAGGATCTCACAGAGTGGAGCTGTTGGAGGCAGCAAACCGGGAACCTGACTTTGTCAGAATGAGGCCTTAGGGCTGTGTCTGAAAGAAGAACCAACAGAAATGTGACCACATCACTGAGGAATGGACTGGCCACGAGGCAGAGACCATGTTAGCCAACCTGGAGACACCAGTACATACACATGTGCATGAGCACCAGTGTTCATGGGATAAGCTATCTGTGGAAGATCACTTTCACAACAGGCAGACAGCACTTTCCCTTTTTTTGAGATAAGGTCGCACTGTTGCCCAGGCTGGAGTATAGTGGCATGATCATGGCTAACTGCAGCCTTGATCTCCCAGGCTCAAGTGATCCTCTCACCACAGCCTCCCAAGTAGCTGAGACTGCAGGCACTCACCACCGCACATGACTAATTTTTTTTTCTACTTTGTAGAAATGGGATCTTCCTGTGTTGCTAGGGCAGGAGATCCTTCTTTTGGATATGAATCAGTTCCAAAGCTCCATTTGCCACATCCTAAGGCAAAAATGATTCTTGATTTCTTTTCAGATTTGTGTTTCTGTAGAGAAAATGAACCAATTGAGAACTTCCTTTGATTTTCAATGCTAGTCTGTTTGCACACAGTGCCAGACACCTCTTATGTATTTGTTATAGGCTGAATTATGTCCCTCAGTCATGTGTTGAGGTCCTTAACTGCCCAGTACCTCAGAACATGACTGAATTTAGAGATAGGGTCTTTACATAGATAAGCAAATTAAAATGAGGCTAGTAGAGTGGGCACTAATCCGGTATGACCTGTGTCCTTATAATTAGAGATTAGGACAGATATACACAGAGGAAGACCATGGGAAAACACAGAGAGAAGACTGCCATCTACAAGCCAAGGAGAGAGATCTGAGAAGAAACCAACACTGCCAACACCTAGATCTCAGACTTCTAGCCTCCGGGACTGTGAGAAAATACATTTCTGTTGTTTAAGCCATCCGGTCTGTGGTATGGCAGCCCTCACAAACTAATGTAGTACCCAATAAATATTTACTGAAGTTGTTTGTTTTTTTGGACTGAATTGGAAATGGCTTTCTTTGTTGTCATGCAGGGCAGAAATCATTCTTTCCATAAACCTTGTCAGTTGTAGAAGAGCAGAGTAGAATGTTTGTGGATTGTTTTCAGCTACTCATTGTTCTGGATGTCTTTTTAGTAGGCTTTGCTTGTGGAAATTTGACATTTTATTTGAGGCCACATTGGTTCACTTCTGTTTTCTCCCAATTCATTTCACATTGCAACCACATCAACTGTGCCAGAGACTGTGTTTTGACCTTAGATTGAGGTTTCTGTTGCAAAACCAGCTGAAGAGGTCCTAAATGTGGAAAGCAGATGTTTTCTCTTCTGGCATGTCTTGCAGAATTATCTGGCTAGAGAAATGTCTTCTGTGAAGAGAATGCTTGAGAAATGTCATGCAGTTAGCAATGATTAAAAAAGAAAAGTAAATCTTCAACTCCTTGATCTTAAAAGAATTTGGCTTGTTATTTATTGGGAAGACAGCTAAGATGCAAAGAACTTTTCTGCTCCTTTAAGAAATTTGTTTTCTACTTTTTTGATGCTTCATAAGGCCAGAATATATTTTCCTCGGGGACAGCTGACAAAAACATAATTTAGTAGCTTTTAGAGAGTTAGCATACTGATGTCCAAGAAGACATTGTTGTTGATTTAAAACTACCAAAAGGCAGGTTTTCATTTGGACTGCTGTGACAAAAATACCGTAAACTGGGTGGCTTAAACAACACTGTATTTCTGTCTCCCAGTTCTGGGGGCTAGAAATGTGATATCTGGGTGCCAGCATTGTCCGGTTCTTGATGAGGACTCCCTTCCTGATTTGCAGATGGCTGCCTTCTTGCCCTACCATCAAATGAGGGAGAAAGAAGGCATCTCTCTCATGTCTCTGCTTATAAGGACACAAATCCTATCATGAGGGCCTTACCTTACCCTCACGCCCTAATTGTCTCCCCACCTCCAAATACCGTCACAACAAGGATGAGGTTTCAACATATTAATGGTGCCAACATTCAGTCCATAAGTAGGTGAATGCCAACAAGCTAGTTTCTTGTCTGTTTTCAGTGCCATATGGAGGCTCTGTTGTACATCTTCTGAGATCCCATAGTTATTACATTAAAAAGTACGATTCCAATGAGAATATGAATAGCT